AAACATTTCATGAGTAACTCTTTGTAAAAAAGATGTGGACCCTTTTTTTATTTTTTTGGTGGCTCTGATGATTTTTTTTTTTTGGGAAAAGGGTTTGATAATAATTTTTGTTTTTGAAAAGATGAATAATATGGTCCTTAGAGAAAATATATATATATATATATATATATATGAGCTCATTTAGTTCGTTAATTTGAGTTGAGATGGGACTTTATGTGAGAATTTTTTACTATAATAAAAAAATTAGATGTGATTAGTTTTTCGAGTTTTTTACTGTAGTAAAATTCGAATTCTAAACTTAAATCGGTGAAATGAACATCGTCTATATCTCTTACGTTCTACTCATCTAGTTGAAACTGACAACTTTGTATTATGTTCTATATATTTTGCACTCTTTTTACATTTTTTATATGATTTTGACAAAATAATATTTAAAAATATGCACCAAAATAGGATATAGGTTGATTCGTTCGTTTCGTTGATTCGAGTTTAGAATTTAAGTTTTGTTATAGTAAAAAACTCTCATAAATAGTCACATTTAACTTTTTTATTATAATAAAAAATTTTATATAAAATCACATCTTAATTCGAATTTTAAACTCAACTCAGCAAACGAAGGAGGCCATTTACTTAGCAGATTCAAAATTTTAATTTAATATCATATAAACTCAAAAAAAAAAAAAAAAGAAAAGAAAAGCGCAGTATATTAGTGCTAGCCAGTAAATGGTGGAAAATCAGAATCTATATATATTAATGCATGTCAGACGTCTCAAAAAGTCATTCTAGGTACCAAATCTAGTCCGTCCATTAATAGTACACTGCATGTAGATTACACACTACGTCACTCTCAAAAGTCTTTAATTAATTAATTTTTGCTTAAACCGCATCTTCCCTGCCTTAATCGAGCCTAATTAAAGCAAAAGGATACGGAGAGAAGCAAAAAGCCCACATCAATCAGTCCCTTCTTTATCGTCATATATATCATCCCAAATCTTCTTTCAACGTTAGAGTATATAAAAATCCATCATTGCTCGGTCATATATTGGTATTTATCGAGGAAAATCTATGGCATAGGGTGCATTTTTTTTCCCTTAAAATGACCACCAGATTAAGATCCAATGGCTGTAGGTAACTGAGCTCATCATGAAAAAATAGGCTTGGATGTTGGGAATTATGTCCCTTAAAAAGATAAAAATATGAGAAAATTAAGGGCTTATACCCCGTTTACTTCGTTGATTCGAGTTTAGAATTCGAGTTGAGATGTGACTTTATATGAGAGCTTTTTACTGTAGCAAAAAAGTTAGATGTGATTGTTTGTGAGAACTTTTTACTGTAAAAAAACTCGAATTCTAAACTCGAATCAGCGAAGTGAACGGGTTTACTTGAGTATAATTCTTAAATTGAATTTGAGTTATAACTTGAGTTGAACTTGCTTGAGTTTGTATTTGGTTGTGTACATTTGAGTTATGATTTGAGATAAATTTTTTTTTGAGTTTGTGTTTGAGTGAGTCAAAACTTGAATTTATATTTAGATATTATTTTAATAAAAACTCAATGCTAATGAAAAATTTTAATAAGATATATGGGTCGGGTTTTATTCGTCTTTTTGTTGTCAACGCATAGAAAAAAAATCATCTCAATCAGAATTAAAACGAAAAAGTTATAACATTTTTAAGAATAAAAAAATACTGTTTATTAATTTGAGTTCGAGTTTCTGAACTCGAGTTGAAGGGAAAACTTGAACTCGAATTTTAGTCCTAAACTCGAGTTTGAACTCGAGTTTAAACTCGAGTTTAAACTTAAAAGAACATGAACTCGAATAAAGTTGTAACTCGAGTTGCATTTTTTGAGTTTTTCACTCAAAAAAACAAGCCTTAAAAGTCTTGTTCATTTCACCGATTTGAGTTTAAAATTTAAATTTTACTATAGTAAAAAGCTCTTAAAAATAATCACATCTAACTTTTTTACTACAGTAGAAAATCTTCACATAAAATCACATTCTAACTCAAATCAGTGAATTAAACGGACCTAAAATTTCTCATAAAAAGGATGCAAACCCAACTTCCTCATAAAATTATTTCAAAATGTTTTTCCCCCAAATAATCAAAGATTAAAAACTCATGATCATCAAGCCAAAAAAGAATACGATTAAAGAATCCACTCGGTACTTCTCCTTCCCAGAAAGTCTTAAACCTGCTTCAATCAAGCTCTTTCCCAGACCTTTTTTAAAATCCTGGCAATCAATTGCCTTAAAAAAGAGAAAAGGAGTTAAAACCCATAAAAGGACAAGTTATTTATCTCCAACACATAATTCTCAATCACATTTATTCTTTCTTTCTTTGCAGTATGAAAAAGCCCCGATACATCTACAATAGAGTGCAAACCATTCAAAAGAGATAAGAATCTGACAAATTCACAACAATGCCAAAGCATTAACTTAAAATTAAAAAAAAATATTTATTGCAGAGAAATCAACTTAATCAAGAATAAGATAAAGAAAAACTCAAAACAAAGAAAAAGAGTTCATTACAGCAATCTTGAACGGTTTTCTTCTCTTTACGACGAAACATATATGACAAATTTAAATGTATGATTGTATTAGTCTCAATACATTTATATGGATATTTTCGCACATGTTAAAGAGAGTCTTTCTAAAGACATTTGTGAAACAAAACTTTAACTTCTTAGTTGTTGATAAAAAAGAGACAATCACACTACTTATTTGCGCATCAAGAACTGATCAAGGTTAAACAAAATATTCATGTTAATATAACGTAATGAAGGTCATAAAACGAAATATGATGATGGGGCAGAAGCATCAAACATTTCTTAGGCCTTAAAAGGCCGTATTGTTATACAGAACTTTTCCCCTAATATCTCTCAAAAAACGTGTAGCAAAAATTCAAACAAAAAAAAAAAATATATGACATTATTATTTTAATTTTAGGCCTAGTTCATTTTACGAATTTGAGTTTTTAATTTGAGTTGAGATGTGATATTTTTTAAAATTTTTTTATTATAATAAAAAAATTAAATGTGATATTTTCTGAGAATATTTTACTATAAAAACTTAAAATTAAAAACTCAAATTAATAAAATAAATTATGCCTTAGTTATTTTCGTCTCCAAATATATATATATATATATATAGTGATGAATGCTGATGAGCTAATTAAGTAGGATTTTGAAGTCTTTGGTGATGAGATGACATGCGGTTGTGACAGTGGATATCCCTGCAAGGATGAAGGATATAAAGACGGCGCTGCAGTAGTCTGGATCTCTCTCTCTCTCTCTCTAAAATTTTTTTTTGCAAAGGATCTCTTATATATATTAGCTAAATGTATATCGGCTCTGAGAGAGCCAAAGTCATAATATAGCATTAAATCTCTTTATGGCACGTCAAGGTCTTAATCATTTCTCCCCCAAAACGGCTGCTATAAACAATCATTTTTCGTTGGAGGGATTCTCTCAAACTCCCTCTATAAATTGGGGCTCTCAATATTTCCTCACAATTCACACCATTGATAATCCATTTCTAGTTCTTTATATTTGCCAGTCCCGTTTTTCTTTTCCTCTTTGATAAAAGCAAGTCAAAATCTTCTGGTTTTGTTCTTTAGCTGCTGAGACATAGAAATGGCTTCCAAATCCAAGCTCATCTGTGTTGCTTTCCTCGTGGTTTTCTGCTTCATTCTACTGAAGGAAGCTTCTGGTGATCTCTCCCTCTCTCTCTAACTTCTTATACTTATCTTCATATCCAAATCTTAAACAAAAAAAATAAAATAACTTAATATTTTGTTAATGGCAGACTGCAAGAGTGGGCAATATGGATGCATTACTGAGGCATCTTATAAGAGGCACAGCAGAAAGGTCTAAATTAAAGCAATCTTTGCTCAAACCAAGTTTTTATGTTTGTTTTTGTTTTTGTTTTTTTTCAATTTTTGCCATTTCATCTTCTTAAATAATCTCACTGGGGTAGTTATGTTTTTGTGATTACAGGTTCTTGCTGGTCTGATGGTGAAGAATCCAGGTACACTAATCTCTGGAAACTATGGAAACAAAGACCAGTTCAATGAGTGGCAGTTAAGGAGGGTTCCCTCTGGCCCAGACCCATTACACCACAACGGGAACAACCCCAAGAAGCCCAGAAGCCCATGAATCTCATCATCAATATATGAAAAAATATTGCTCAAGTAGTTTTAATAGTATAGTATAGGTTTATCATTAGCTAACTAGTTTTGTATCAGTTGTTCAGTGCCTTTTCATCTACTTTACGTTATGCAGATATTTTGCTTTTAATTAGTTGGACTAGAAGTTTTTTTTGTTGGACTGTTATATACAATCAAACTCTAGCTAAAGCTAGATCTTGTCTTTTGTTCTATATTTAAATATCCTTTTGTACAAAGTATAATGCCCTCTCTCTTTCTCTTCGTTGATTCGAGTTTAAAATTTGAATTTTTTTATAGTAAAAAATTCTCACAAATAATTATATCTAATTTTTTTATTGTAATAAAAAATTTTCACATAAAATTACATCTTAATCGGAATTAAAAACTCAAATAAGGAATTAAACGGTTTATATCATTTTAGTTTTTCCTCTGCAAGTACATCTAAAAGTACGATATTTCTGTGTTGGTACCAAGTCACGTACCTACAAAATATATCTATAACTACAATATATATATATAACTTGTAGCATATTTTAATTGTGATCCCTGTTTTTTAGTAGGTGAACCATTCTGTTTTGGTTCTTCTCCACATTCTTACCGCCGGAATTTACCTATGATTTTTTCAACTGAAATTTTGATATGTGAAAATTTTTAATTATAATAAAAAGAAATTAAATGTGATTTTTATGAGTTTTTTTAATTATAGTAAAATTAAAAATAGAAATTTGAATCTGTAAAATGAATAATATTTTAATTTAGATCATCTTATATGCTGAGTTTATAATAAATTTACTCTCGGAAAATTAATTGAAACAAATGATGATAATGCCTAAAACTGTTTTGTTTTTTTTTTCCTTTGTCTTTTTTTGCTCATCGCTAAAACTGTATTAATCTTGAAGAAAATCGGCCCAAAAGAATAATAAAAAGATTAGTTGACAGTGATATATGGTAATAGGCCATATCAAACAGCTAGCTGGAGATTTCATATATGTGCTCAGTATATAATAATTTTAAAAAAATGATGAAAATAGCTAAAACTGGTTAATCTGGAAGAAAATGAAAATCTTGTCCAAAACAATAATATTGGACTAATTAATTTAACTTACAAAACAGATAATAGAAAAGAGTAGATGATACTTGATAGTGATGGTAACAGGCAAATAACAAACAGCTAGCATATATAGCTGGAGAAAAGACATTTTTATGGGGCTGCAGGAGGGTTTGAAACGCAGTGTCGCAGTCAAAAGTGACTATTTGTGCACAAAGGCTATTCTTGGATTGGAATAGAATCAATGGATGGAGACATTTACGTGCTTGATGTCATGAAAATCCAGTTGTGTTTATATATATATATATATATGTACATATATGGCTTGCAATAACTAACCCTTCGGCTTTTCTGATAAAACCTGATTAGAGAGAGAGAGAGAGAAGAAGGCACTTGATGATGCAAGATTATTTGGCAGTGACGAAGCTTCTGCAATAACATGACAGCAGTCAAATCGGTTCTTATTTCAAATGGTATAAGATGAAACTGAAAAGAAAAAAAAAATGAAGAAGAAGAAGAGAAGAAGAAGAACAAAGAAGAAAAGGAGAATTAACGTGCAGCCACTCCCTATCATGCTGGTAATTCAAAAAGTAATTTCAATTGATACTTGTAACCTGACTCTTGAGTTCCATTAAAAAAAAAAGACTCTCTCTTGTAAGCTTTTTTATCAAGTATCAAATTGTCAATAAAAAAATACAAAATAAATAATTTTTAATATAAATTTAATAATTAAAAAATAAAAATTAAAAAACTACTTATACATTTTTTTTTTGTCTTACTAGAAAAAAAATCTAAACAAATAAATAAATAAATTCTATTAAGGACGTTATGCGGTAATTTTAAAAGTGAAAATGAGAATCTATAAAATTTTCGTATTTAGTACAAGAAATGTGATTTTTACATTTTTGAAAAACTCAATCTCATGAGATTCACCTTACTCTATTTTAAAATAATCTCAATACCACCCAAATAAATATTATTCATATTCCCATTAATCTTCAATACCATGAAATTAAAGACAAGAACACATTAGCCCAACAATTAGAGACAGACCATTGCTGCCCATACCCGCCGCCGACATAGCAGTGCCAACAGACACCGTCGCAGCCCCATCGGACGTCATTGTAGCCCCACCGGCGCCAGCACAACCCCTTTAGACACTGTCACAGCTCCAATCCCACCAGAGGATTATATCATGAAAACACCTTGGGGAAATAATTTTCAGTAGGATTATATGCCTTTATAATTTTCTTTAGCGTGCTCCTTTTATACGGTATGTTTCTAATTTAATAAATATGGTTGGTGATTTAGAAGATATATCATGTCATATAGTATTTTTGGAAAAGCGTTCTATGATATATGTTGAAAATAGCAAGTCCAATTTTCCCAAATATCACTATCTTCTCTTGAACGATTAATCTTATGAATTTGTCACATTTCATGTCCAATGAGAGAAAATTAGCGTCAAAATACTGAGGTCTCGAGTATAAGAGTACAAGATGGTAGATAAGCCGTGGGCACTGTATATTCCTAACCGTCAACAAATGATATCTACGTATATCTGAGAGCTTTTAATTATAGTAAAAAAGGTTAAATGTGACATTTTCTGAAAACTTTTAACTGTATAAATTTAAAATTAAAAACTTAAATCGGTGAAATGAACGAGACATAACTATATTATATAGTGCATTTGGTGGCTTTCACTTCGTGGTGTATGTTTCGGGAAATTATAGAACGGAGATAGACTTGAAATTAATCAGTATATATGGACAATTTCATGGGATGAGGACTTGGAGTTGGAGGGATTGAGCACAATATTGCTTTTTTCTTTTCTTTTTTTTTTTAATAAACAAAAAAAGAAACATTGAAATAACTAAGCGAACTACTCCCTCCATGCAGTACATAAAAATGAGAGTTACATTGAAATAAATAATTAGTATCATAAATAAACATTGTTTCTCTCGCCAAATTCATGAAGTTCAGAGAAGATCTATGTGACAATATTTCTTCTATCATAAGCTTGATTACTATATTTTGTGCTCTTCTCATGTGATCACTTGACAATATCGTTCTTAAATTGATTTCAATTGATCTTCTGAATTTCTGTCCATGAATGATGCTCGAGTCGGATCATAAAATGAAGAGTATTAATTTTAATCTCGACGCAAGTGTTTATTATATCATTACTTATACAATTACCTATTGAATTTTATTCTTTTCAGTCATTTTAACTTTAATACTATATCCATTAATATATGTGCATCGTCACAAATTAATAAGCATAGACATCCCCCTCCTTTTGATCCAATTCATTGTCTCAAACTGTTGTGTCATAAATATAAATTTATGTGTGCGTGTGGAACTGAATCCAAGCCAATATTTTTATACTTTTGCCTTTTAACATTGATCCATTCTGAGATCTTTTTGGCCAATGAGAACCAAAGTTTCAAATTTGTGACTGTCAAAACATTTGCAGCCTTCTGCTCAATTAGAATGTATTACCTGCTTATTCTTCATTTTTGAAGTGAAATTTTTGTCCTCCCCGTAGAACGTAAGCTTTTCACACACAAAATAAAATCAGAGACTAATATTCGATTTGGAGAAGATTTCTTTGTTCCATCGTTAAGTTTTTGCAACCAGCAAGTGAAAATCAACATTTGACAAATTTAAATCTTAGCTCTTGCCCTTTTATATATCTTTGTGTTCTGTTTTGATGAATATTTGAGTTACCCCGATTATTTCACCGATTCGAGTTTAGAATTCGAATTTTGTTACATTAAAAAGCTATCAAAAAGAGTAACATCTAGCTATAGTAAAAAGCTTTCACATAAAGTCAGAATTAACGAACTAAACGGGCCCTTATTGTTTCAATCATTCTCATATAAAGTGTTCCCAGGAACATACCCAGATGCTTTTAGCTCAGACGACAGGAGCTCGAGCATCGAGTATATACAATTTTTGTCAACATGGGACTTGTCACCAGCTACAAATTCATGAATGTTACAATCAATCTCAATCGAACTAAATCCCGGCGTCTTTTGTATACCAAGGGCCTTCATTGTCTTCCTAACTTTGCCCGCACCATCCCACTTCCCAACTGCGGCGTACATGTTTGCAAGGAGCACATAGTTGGAGTCACCTCCGGGATCCAAATCTGAAAGGTATTTCATTAATCTTTCGGCCAAGGTGATATCCCCGTGAGTCCTACAGGCAGCCAACAATGACCCCAAAACAACTTCATTCGGTTTCATTGGCATATATTCTATCACATTTAGCGCGTCTTCTAACCTCCCAGCCCGACTATACAAATCTACGATGCACCCATAATGCTCAATTCTGTGCCTAATTCCGTGTACTCTTTTCATGTTTTCAAACAACAATAGCCCCTCTTCAACCAACCCTGCATGGCTGCAAGCAGTTAGAGCCCCGGTGAAGCTAACTCCGTCGGGCTTGAATCCTTCCCGCTGCATCAAATTGAAAAACTTAAGAGCTTCCTCGGCATGGCCATTAACAGCGAATCCAACAATAATTGAGTTCCACGATACCAAAGTTCGATTAGGCATTCTCTCAAAAACTTGCCGAGCAAACTCGATACACCCACATCGAGAATACATATCAATCAACGAATTGCTAATCTTAACATTATCCTTAAATTTCCTATTCATAATAAACCGATTCATCCACAAGCCTAAACCAACTGTTCCAAGATCAGCGCAGGCAGCTAGAACAGCAATGACCGTAACATAATCCGGCTCCACACTGGAGACTTGCATCTCCCGAAACCACTCCAACGCTTCCTCAAACCGACGTCTTTTCACGAACCCACCGATCAAAGCAGTCCACGAAACAGCATCTCTCTCAGGCATTTCATCAAACACCTCGACCGCATCCCGCACCTTCCCATTTCTCATGTACCCATCAATCATCGTATTCCAAGAAACCGAATTCTTCTCCTTAATGTCATCAAAAACCAATCTAGCAACATCCACGAGACCGCGCTTAGCGTACATAGCAACAAGCGCCGTTCCCACCATGACATTACTCGTGTCGAAGCACAGCTTACGAGCATAGCCATGAATGGAAGCTCCAAAAGAGATATTCGAATCTGCACATCCCGAAAGAAGCGTAACGAAAGTGACGTGATTGGGTTCGACCCCGGATAGTCGCATTCGGGAAAACTCGGCGGCGGCTTCTGAAAATCGGCCATTTTTGCAGTGGCGAGCTATGGAGGAGGTCCATTTAACGACGGGTTCGATGGGTTTGTAGGTGAGTTTGTGGGAAGGATAGTGTTGGTTGGGGAAGAAGGGTTGAGTCGGGGATGGCAGAGAGAGAGGCGGTGGTTTGGGAGGTTGAGAGAGCTGGGTTGGGGTTACAGTGTTTGCTGGAAGACTCATCCTTCGCAATTGGTTTTGGTCCTAAATTGATACGAGACCTTTTTGCTTTCTTTTTTTTTTTTTTTTTTTTTTTTTTTTTTTTTTTTTTTTTTTGCATTCCTTACCGTAAGACCTAAAAAACCTGCACCGATAAAATCTTTATTTTTATCTGTTAGATTAATGTTTTAATAATTAATTTTATTCAGTATATTATAAAATTTTAATACGAATTTATATAAATTTAATTATTAAAAAATTAATCTAATAATTAAAAATAAGAGTACTGGTGAAAATTTTTTTGGAATGTCACTGTAGTAATTGCTCTTTTTTTGTTTGTTTTATTTTTGGGTTTTAGTAAGAATCGATTCTTCTTCTTTCTTTCTTTATTTTGTTAATGGAATTAAGAATTGAGTCGTGTACCGGAACATATATAGTTTATTTAGATTCAATTTTACTTGCAATTTTATTATTATTAACTTTTGATAATAAGAAATGTTAATATGAGAGTTTCTATACAGGTGGAGATTTCTTTAATCAAATTTATAAATAAGATAAGAGCATAACCAGCTATCGAATGGGCAGCTCTTTCAGGATTTGTTTGGGATAACTTTTTTAAAGTTGTTTTTGGCTTCCTGAGTCTAAAAATTATTTCTAAAAGTGTTTGGCTACACACATAGCTAACGTAACTCAGAATAAGCTTTTCCTGGGTTTTCTATTATTAAAGTCGCCCTTAGGATTCTTGTTAGATGTTTTGGAAGAGTATTATGAATCAACACTCAAAAACATTTTTTAGAAATAAAAAAATTGTACAAAACTGCAATAAAACTTTTACAATTGTTTTCTAAAATTATGAGAGATCATTTTGTTCAGAATAGCATCTATTACAAATTGTACATAAACAAGGTTGCTCTAAGTGACAAACCTAGACAAAAGGGCATTTGCTTTGCCTTTTTCTAGCTAGTCGGAGGGTGACAACCAGCCGACTGGTGGTGTGAAACTAGACAGGGCAGTGCTTTCTGCCTTTCTAACTGACTAGAGGATGATGTCTGATCAGTCGCTACTGATCCAGTGACTATGTTTTTGAGTCGTTTGACGGTGATCTAAACCGTGATTTTGGCTTGTTTTTGCATATTGAAGTGGCTTTTGAGGTCTTAAGGTGGCGTTTGGTTTATGGGTTTAGAACTATGATTTATGATTCTGATTTTTGAAATTTAAATTTTTTGTGAGAGAAAAACACTATAACAAACTAAAAATTATGATCATAAATCAGGACAGAATCCTCGAAACAAATGGAGCATAACTGGTTGAGAATCATTCATATTGCTCCTAATTCAATACTTCTCAAAGTCCCTTGAATTAACTTGCATTGATTTCATTCAACAAAGCGCATTGATTTACACACTCTTGAGCTAATCTTAAGATAAACATTGATTGAGTGTTCTTTCATCTCCAATAACTAAATTGTATAAATTCTTGCGAATCAAAGCATCATATTCCTAATCAAGATTACAGATTATTAATTCGTTGTTATTTAGTGTGCAAAGGATAGTTAGGATCTTAAGTTTAAGTTTTGCGATTGTAGAGGGGGATCCTCAAGTAGCCAAAAAAAAAAAAAAAAAAAAAAACAAGCCTTTCCTACTCGGCTTAATCGGGTAGAAAGGCGATCAAGATATTAGAAAACGTAGAGCCATGATTTATTTGGTGATAGTGAATGTAGAAATATTATCAAATAACTACGAATAGCATTTGCATATCTCCTTCTCCTATCCTATCTAAATATTGCAACTGTTTTATTTTGTTATTGATCCCATTGTCATATTTAGCGATTTTTTGAGCAATTGTGACTTTGGTTTTTCAAAACAATTGTTATTATTAGATATTTTGTATTTCTTTAATTAGTTTCAATCATTCCAATAATTCTAACAGTTTGAAAAGTTTTTCAAATCCCAATCCTACATCTGGGATAGTCTTCGGCCTGTAACTAATCATGCTAAGATGTCGAGAATCTCTTTCTGCAAAATATCACGGTCACGGTAAGGTATTGGTCGTCATCGGCCGATTATAGGTGTCACAAATTTTAGTATCACGACAATATACCTCTAAGTATCATGGTAGGATACTGGCGATCTCTGGTTGTTGAGGTTTAGTATTGCAGAAGGATACTTCTGAGTATCATTGTAAGACAGTCATCAGTCGGCTGCCATTAGTTCCTAAGGCCTTATTCATTTTACGGATTTGAGTTTTCAATTCGAGTTTACATGTGATATTTTCTGAGAGCTTTTAACTGAAGTAAAAAAAAGTTAGATGTGACATTTTCTGAGAGTTTTTAACTGCAGAAACCTAAAACTAAAAACTCGAATCGGTGAAATGAACGATGCCTAAAATTTTCAGATCACAGCAGGATACCTCTAAGTATCATGGTAGGATACCATGTGTTACTGACCAACGACCGCTGGTTACAGAAATTTTCAATATCAGAGATATTCCTCTAAGTATCTTGGTCGGATACCGAAAGTCACAGATGACATCTATCAGTATCTTAGCATGAGAGTATCACGGATATTAGTTGGTATTCCAAATATATTGGGCATGATATAAATCAATGAGCCCTACGAAAGATCCATAAAGATCATTTGAGCTGTCTAATATAGTCTTAATTGTCCTAATTACTTCACCAATAACATGCCTTTAATAATTCTAAAAAAAGAAGAAGAAAATATTTCCTAGGTTTTTGGGCAAAAGAAAGAAGAAAAAGAACATTAAGCTTTGCCCCGTTCATATACTTTGGTTCTTGTTTTTCAATATAAAAAATTGACTCTTAGACTTGAAGTTGAAGCAAATGTTCATAGGAATTTTCACTTGTAGACGGTTCCTTTTGGAAATACTAATTTTAAATTAAAAACATTATTTTAAAATCTAATTTGTAGTTAAAAAACTGATATGGATTGGTTGTTGCGACGAAGGTTGGGGAAGGGAGTTGGGATGTACAATTATTAAAAAAAAAAAAAAACAATGAGAAAATTACAGAATTTATTTTTAAAAATGTATGAGTTTAAATTTTTACCTCTTATTGTTTATTAATATTCTTTTAATAATATAATTATTTAATTAAAAAGTTATTAATTAAAAATAAAATACTTAGGGTATTTGTCTCATTTCTCCCTATAAAATGTGGCTCATGCAAATAGTGAAAGTAAAACAAGTTGGGCCACATCCGAAATTGGGCTGGACCAACCAATCTAGCGCAGCATAGAGAAAAGAGAGAAATAGGGAAATAAGTTAAGACTTGAGATGAATAAAAATTAATAGGCCAATAGTTTACATAAGTTAATAAATAAGCTAAATTACTGTTTTCGTCCATAACTTGTCTGGTTATGAACCATAACTTGACAAGTTATTGTCCATAAATCACGGTTTTTGTCCATAACTTGTATGGCTATGAACCATAACTTGACAAGTTTGTCCGTAACTTATCTGGTTATGAATCATAACTTGATAAGTTATGGCCTATTAATTTCTATAACTAAAAGTTGACTTATATACTTTCTTAAGCTTTTCATAATGACCTATTTTTCTACTATTTCTGTAGAGAAAATAGGCCCTAACCCGACTCAATAGTTCGGCGAGCTCTGTAAGGGTTGAGCCCACAAGTTGTGTAATATAGAAACATTATTTAAAAGAGTGGTTATATTTGTACTCCTAAAATTTATAAATATTCCTTAATATTTTTAATTATTCTGTAACATTTTCTAGCACACAAGCATTTTCTTGAAATATAAAAAGAATATTATAATTAGAATAATGCTATAAGACAAGGCCGTGTTAAGCACTACTTTCTAATAAAAAGTATACCAATAACAATGTGAAACACACTTTTTATTAAGGGAGAAAGAGGGAAATATGTCAAGATTTGAGATGAATTAAAATTAATAGGTAAATAGTTTACATAAGTTAATAAATAGGTCAAATTACTGTTTTTGTCCATAACTTGTCTGGTTATGAACCATAACTTGACAAGTTATTCATAGTTTTTGTCCATAATTTGTCTGGCTATGAACCATAACTTGACAAATTTGTCTATAACTTATTTGGTTATGAATCATAACTTGACAAGTTATGGCCTTTTAACTTCTATAACTAAAAATTGGTCTATATACTTTCTTAAGTTTTTCATATTGACATATTTTCTACTATTTGCCTTTTATAATAATAGTATTTAATAATAGTGGTGTCTCTAAACGTCTATTTATTTTTCATAATTTTTTAGCTGAATATTTATTTTTCGTAATTAGGCATTCATCCACACATGGCCAGGACACATATTTTTATGGCCCCTTTAATTTACTCTCATTCTCGCTCTTGTAACTCACGCAGAACTAAATGATGATAGTGATAATGTTAATATGGCAACGGAGCAGGGGCGGGGAAGGGGATTCTCCGTTAGAGACGTTTTCTATACCCGTTCCATTCTCAATTAAATGTAATTAAGCATTTTAAAATTATTGTACCTTAAAGTAAAAATAAAATAGAAATTCAATATAAGTTTTGACTGAAATCAAATGTTCCTTGTTACAAACTAAATTAAAAAAATATGAAAAAAAAGTTGTAGAGTTAAGAAAGGTCTTATTAAAAGTAATAATTAATACTATGCAAAAAGTATATGTATGTATATTTATATAAAATATATTAATTATATATAACATATGTATATCGGGGCGGGAGCGGGGACAGGGCGGAGAGCGCTTCTTCCATTCCCATCCCGCTAAGATTCAGGGACAAGATTTTATTTCCATCTCGCCCCTACTTATCCTCCGTTCCTACTTTATTCGATGTGAATTCCGGTGGGGACGGAATATTGGCATCCCTATCTGCCACTGCATATATGGAAACAATTTAAAACTGTGAGAAATAATTGACATGACCAATTACTTTGCCTAAAAGCCATCAAAATGAAACTATATATGATCCTCATCATGTCTGCTGGGACAAAATATTGGGCCACCATTTCACAAACAGAAGTAGTCATACATTAGAAATTGCGCCGGATCTCAAGGTTGTCTAGATTCTTATCACTATTTATCTTTTTATAATCAAAAGAGTTATATGATAATTCTTATATGGGAAAACCTTTTATGTGGACCTATACTCTTTTTTCTTAAAAAGGTTTCTCAATACTTGTAACTGGGGCTGTTCGGCACCCTGCTAGGGATTGATTTGGGCCGGTTCCGAATCAGCACTATCGGTTATCAGTTAAATTACCGAAACTGACCGACATTTCATCTTCCGGGTGCGAAGATTTTGGTATGCTCAAACCCGAACCGCAACCCTATAATTTTCTTGTTAAAGATTTTTTTATCCAAACCCCATGAATTTCATACGCGTGCCAAAAATTCTCTTTACTATTTTGCTACTTTTTCACAAAATATGTACACTTACAAAACATGTCTGTCCTTTTCTTTTTTATTCAAGAAAAAAAAAAAAGAGCATGTCCGTATATTAAGACAAACCAAGTCCTTAAATTTTAAAATCAAGAGCAATCCTGCAATAGTCTCTAAACTGGTTTAAAAGGTTGCCATTGTTTCTTTGTGATATATATATATATATATATTTGTTTCTGTACATGTTTAGGACCACACTATAATTACCTTTATATCATTCGGATTTTTTTTTTTCAATTTAATTTCATTGAAATGGCCTACCAGAAAATTTCTTATTAATAAGTTTCGAAACTCTCCATTTTTTAACTTTAAAGACTTTTCCATATTTTCGAGGTTAAAAAGAAAAAGGGTGTAGATGGCAGAGACCCAAACCAAAATGACTATACAAGAGACAATGTTGGCCATCATTCATTGCTAGTTTGGACCCAACATTCATTTGGATACAAAATATCTCAGAATGTTACACTATATCGCTATAACTCATTAGAAGACTAGCGGTGAATATTCACGATAGTAACACTTACATATGTATATATATATATATATATATATACTTATATACAAAAATCATATATGACACAGGGTGCAAGTTGCAATCTGTCAAGTCATATCAAACTTAAATATTGTGTTTGAAGATAAAAAAGCAAACTTAAAACAGCCACACCTACCAATTAGTTCACGTCACTATATATTGTCCCTGTTTATTTCATGAATTTAAACTACTACATTATTTTTTCTTATAAAATTTAAATTTGTATTCAAATTTTTCTGTGCAAACCTATGAACCAAATGATGTGCTACAATAGGCATTGTTCGCTTAGTGAATTGAGTTAAGATGTGACATTTTCTGATAGTTTTTAACTGTAGTAAAAAAAATTAGATGTGATATTTTCTGAAAGCTTTTAACTGTAGAAATTTAAAATTGAAAACTTAAATCGGTGAAATGAACGAGACCATTGCTAGAAAGCCCCGGGCCTTCGTGTTGGCTGATTTTCAAATCTTAGAAATCAAATGTAGGAATTTAAGTCCAGGTCCCTTTTTCAGGAAAATTGGTAGCTGAAATAATTTATTGTTCATGGCAGTGTACTGTACAATGTGCAATGCACATGCACAAAAGTGGGGAAAATGTGAAACATACGTTTCCGAGAGAGGCACAAAAATAATTTCATAATTATTTCCTCAAAAAGAAAAAAAAAAAAAAAAAACACATATGACACGTGACACACAATAATATGTTTCATTTCTCCTGAGTTCTATCTGTAAACCACATTAGTTTCCCATGAAACCAAAGAGGTTGAGAAAATGATTATTTCTTATTATAAGTGAATCCTAAGTTTCAAATAATAAGTCTGCTTGTTTTGTAGTTACTTCAGAATTTCGATAATGTATCTTTGTTATTTTGCTTAATTCACCAGCAATTAGTGTTTATTTACACAGAATGCTACAGGCTTTATATTACTACCTGTTTTTCTATCCTGTAGCGGGAATATAACCTCTGTTAATTCTAGGCTTTACGTTAATTCACTAGTAATTAGTGTTCTAAAAGTTAAAGCAGACACGTGGCAGGAGGAGAAGTTAGCTGCCATCCAATAATCTCTCTGTTTGCGTCCAACTATTGGCCCCGTTCATTTCACCGATTCGAGTTTTGTTACAGTAAAAAGCTCTAAAAAATAATTACATCTAACTTTTTTGCTACAGTAAAAAATTATCATATAAAATTACATCTTAACTCGAATTAAAAACTCGAATCAGTGAACTAAACAGGCCTTAACTTTTGTTAATACTAACTGATACGTACAATTTTAATGAGGTGTCAACATTTAATTGAAAAGATAAAAAAGAAAGAAACAAAAATGAAACAACACATTTGAATTCATAACAAATTGGCTCATGAAAATCGAGAACCAATTACGTGCGTTTTAAGGCACCACTGGTGACGCTTATACGCGGTTAATATTGAATTTTATACTATGAGACATCTCAATATCAATTATCTATAATGCAACATATAACCAAATTAAGAGATCACTCCACATCATTGGAGAACAATGAATTTATAACAAAGTAGAGCTAAAACTTCTCTATCTCCAATGGTACCTTCAAAACAGTTCTCAAAAATCGACTGAGAAAATTATATAATAAAATCACCAAAATGCCACCTTGAGCATTAGAAACTGTATGCAGCAGCTGATGTTCACCATCACATCCCTGAAAAGCACAAAATGCACCTTATTATGAACAAGAAGAAATTCATAAATTTCCAAAAATGAGTCGTTAAATGCCTGCTGAGCATTTGACGACAGTTTTCTTAAACCGTCATAAAAAGAATTTTTCGTGACTGTTTTTAACTATTACTGAATCCTATTTTTACACTAGTGTATTGGTCTGTTTAGTTTGCTTATTTGAATTTTTAATTCGAGTTGAGATGTGACTTTATGTGAGAGCTTTTTACTGTAGCTAAAAAGTTAAATGTGATTGTTTTTAAGAGCTTTTTACTGTAGTAAAACTCGAATTCTAAACTCGAATTAGTGAAGTGAACGGAGCCTAAAACTTTATTGATTACCATTGCTTCGATACTCATCGAGCATCAGTGGAAGTCAGCAACTCTGCAAATCCCATAGGCCTGGCCGGAATGCTTCCCTTGCTGTCATTGATATTGCTGCTGAAGCTAGCCCCAGTGCTATCAGTTTCTTGCCAAGCCTTTAACAGCTGAGGAAGTGGCAGCCTGTAATCAATACCAGATATGCTATCTAGTTCATCATCAACCGGTTTCCATTTCTCAACCAGTAGGACCAACACATTCACGACGTGGCCCATGTCAGGCCGGTGGTGCGGCTCCCTTGCAGTGCAATGTCCAGCCAGTTCCGCTATCGTAGAAATGCTTTCTTCGTCCGCGTCAAGAGTCGAATCGACCGCAGCCATGAGCCTTTGTTTGCTAGATTTTATTTGCCAAAACCAATTGGCTAAGTACCGGCTTTCCTCCGAACGTCCTTCGTCCAGCGCCATAAGGCCGGTCAAAAGTTCCATCAGCACTACCCCGAAGCTGAATACATCAGCTTTAGTTGTGATCTTTCCCATCACTGAAGTCAACAGAAAATTTCATCTTATTATGAGATCAAATCTAGTATAGCAAGCCAAAAAAAAAAAAAAAATCTCTACATAAGCATAAGCTTAAATACTTATGCTAGCAACTTATTTTACTAAGACAAATTCAAGAAAATTCCAGTTTGTACCATAATGACTAAAGATAATGTATGTAGAGTAGTATTCTTTACTTTGAAATTCTAGAGAGGATCAAGATTATGTCAAGAACATTTAAACTCACACCTTTGTATCTTTCTGCATATGATTGATATAAATTGCCCTGTTTGTACTCAAAGCTAAAACAGAATAATAACATAGGATTAGAGAATAAAAATGTCATACCTGCATATTCAGGTGCAAGGTAACCAAATGTCCCAGCGAGCTTAGTTGCAACAGAATTTACGCCGTCGGGAGCGAGTTTAACCAACCCAAAATCCGAAACTTTTGCCCGGAAGTCATCGCCTAGAAGAATGTTAGACGACTTGAGATCGCGGTGTATGAAGGTTTGGCGTGCTAAGCTATGTAGATACTCCATTCCTCTAGCAACATCAAGCGCAATTATGAGTCTATTTGTCCATGAAAGTGGCTTCAAATTCAGACTTTTCCAGTGGAAAAGATGCCTGCTAAGAGCACCTTGAGGCAAATAATCATATATAAGAAGCCTCTCATTGCCCTCAATGGTGTACCCCAAAAGCGAAACCAAATGTCTATGTCTGACCTTGGAAAGAACAGCAATTTCCGCTTCGAATTCATCAAGTGCCTTGCTACTAATCACCCCGCCCTCCATTCTCTTGACAGCGATTTCGGTCCCGTCTTCAAGCTCACCCTTGTAAACAGTTCCAAATCCACCACGGCCAAGCTCATTTTCAGGAGCAAAATCCTTCGTCGCTTTCCGAAGAACTTGAACAGATATAACTAGGTTCCCAGCCTCAATCTGCCGAGAGTCAGTTGCGGTGCTGCTGATGGAACTACTCGCTGTTCGAGTGAATAAGCTCCCTGTGGAGTTGTTCGAAACCGCAATCTTAACCATATTGTCTGGATCAGACGGGTCTCTAGGGTGAATCACAATGGAACTAGGAGCTTCTAAGGCTGCCTTTTTCTTCATACAAAAGAATACAAACACAAAAGTCATGAAAAGAGCCACAACAGAGGCAGAACAAATGCCTGCAACAATTGTGACTTGTTTGGTTCTGTTGGACTGTTTTGGCTGGGATTCCACTTCTGCAGGACTAGAACCATCAGAATTAGTGCTTGGGGACGTCGCACCGTGAGATCTCGGCGCATGTTCTGATGTGTGTTTTGAGGGAGAAGGAGATATTGGACTAGGGAAATCTGGACTTTCACTAGGTACAGCAGGAGGAGTTGTTTTGTTTGCAACAAAAAATGGATTTTCATCTATGATGATCTTCACACTATCGTGAAATCTCGGCAATGGAGGCTCAAGATTGTTTCCAGTTAAATCCAACAGTCTCAAGTTTTCCAACTGAGTAAAATTATCAGGAATGGTTCCATTTATGTTGTTTCCTGAAAGCCTAATTTCAAACAATGAATCTAGCTTTGCAAGTGATGGACTCAGAGTGCCATTCAGACCGCGACCGGGCAAATTGATAACGGAAACCTTGGACTTAAGATTGCAACTCAATCCCATCCATGGCCCGTCGCACGGATCATTTCCCGACCACTCAGAAACAAGCTTTAAAGGGTAATTTACATCATGGAGAAAATCTAAAAGTGCAGTAACTTCTGGTGCACATTGAAGGCCAGGATCAGATTGACAAAAGTAATTGGAAGCATATGTAGCATTACCGGCCTTAAACTCCGGGATTGGACCGACGAGGAAGTTATTGCTCAAGTCTAATCTCTCAAGCTCCATATTTACCAAGCTTTGAGGAACAGGACCAACAAGATTGTTGCCATTGAGGTTGAGTTCCTTGAGAGAGAGAAGTTGTCCAACGTTGTCCGGAATCTTGCCTGTGAACTTGTTTCCATGTAACCAAACTTGGGTCAACACTGTCATTGATGTGATGACATCAATTGAGCCGCTCATCCCTTCACCATCTTGATCATTCAGCCACAAAATCTGCACCAACGACTCCCTTAAACTCGACGGAATCTCACCGGTCAATCTGTTGTAAGACAGTTTAAGAACCGCGAGGGATGGCAATGCGCCTAGGAATTCCGGAACCGGTCCAACCACATTACACTCCACTAAAGAGAGATTCGTCAACTGAAACGATTCCGCCAAGTCCTCGGGAATAGACCACCCGGTGGTCGCGTTGAACGGGTTTCGATCCAACGCCAAGACGCGGACATTGCTGAGACCGGAGAAGAAATCGGACGGAATTGTGTCGAGCTCATTGTTGTCCAAGTAAGCGAATTCCAAGTCGGATAAACCCCGAAAACTAGGCAATTCGCCGTAGAACTTGTTCCCTTGGAGGCCTAAATTTGAGAGCTTTGAGAGCTGGTTAAAGCTCTGAGGAAGAGTTCCTTTGAGTCCCAAATTCTGGACTTGAACCTGTGAAACTCTGTCCCCTGAACAGAACACGTGAGGCCATGAAGGCGGGCCACAAGGGTCATCATCTCCATTTTCTGGCCATTTGAGAAGCTCTGAGTTCTCTAAGCCTTCTCTGAAGTCATTAAGAACTTTGACATCATTGGGGTCAGTGGTACTATAAGACGTTATGAAGAAGAGACACAAAACCAAACAAATACGTAACTTTTTACTCTCCCCATCCTCCATTGCCATCTGTATCAAATATATATATATATATATATATAAAGATTACGTAAAATGTGGAAAAATCAAATGAAGTTGAAAAACAAACATGAATTATGATTTTGAATGGCTTTCATCGTCGAAATGGAATTCAGAAGGGAATAGAGGGGAACAAATGGGACGTGAAATGAGAGTGATCAGACTAAAAAATGCTGAAGAGAATGGAAAGAGGAGGCTTTTTTCATGGGAAATGCAGAGAGGTACAAGTGGGAAAAACAGGGAATTCACAGAAGAGAAAGAAAAAGGGTTGATAAAGATTTTTAGGTTCTACTTTATCCGTTGCTTGAGAAGGAGCCCTCAAACTTGGAGTAGGACTCCACCATGTGACTCTCTCTCTCTCTCTCTCTCTCTCTCTCTCTATATATATATATATATATATCAGAGCTTGCTTTCTTTCCTTTTTGTATCCTGTATCATGTATGTAACTTTCATTAAATTGCTTTTCATATGTTGTTCAGACTATAGCAATGATAAACACAAATGTTGTATATACACTAATATCGCCTTTGAACACTACTACAAATAAATTGTTAAGAAGTTACTAATGAAACATACTAGTCCAAAAACTAAACTTAAAAAAAAAAAAAAAGAAATTGCATGAATATGAAGTGTCTTTTCTTGTATTATTGGATGACAAAATAAGAAGTGCAAGAATTCTATAATAATAGTATATTAAGAGATTTATTTGTAATATAATACGTCTTTAATTGGTCCGGGCGTCAGATTGAATACAATTTATAAGAGTATAATAATTTAATAAAAATTGATAAAAATATGAACAATATTACTAGCCCCGTTTATTTTAATTTTTAATTTTAATTTTATTACAATTAAATTCTTTTTATAAAAAATCACATTTTTAAAAATTTAAATCTCTGAACTAAACGATGTACCGGCGTTTATGGGTGTTTTTCCTTTTTCTTGATAGCAGAGAATTCTCTTGAGGAGTGTGAGTTGAAAGAAAAGTTACAACAGCATGTGTTTTGTGTGGGGCCTACTCAAGGTAAGGAAGAAATGATGAGATTGGCTTTGGGGCCTACTCATTGGAGATAGGATGGAATTCCTTCCGCTGATTAAGGATGGAATTTTCTATTCCCGTGGTCAATTGTCTTCTTGAATTTGATAAATAAAAAATACTTTTTTAACTTTATTTGCCCCCAATGCCATCATTCAGTTATCCCTGGATTCCGTATCCATTTTCATTACCTATTTCTGTTTTTTGACCACTAATCACGATAACCACCAAATAGGGATTTCTTTTTACTCCTTTTGAAATCAATCAATTAAATTAAATTGTCAGTAGTATCAAGCGCAATTACTTACTAAATCCCAATGATTCATATTTAAAAAGAAAAAAAAAGATAGAGAAATAATACCATTTTGGCATTTGCAATAAATATGTTAATTTTGTTTTATTTTTAATACACCATCACTCTTTTTTTTTTTTTTTTTTCCTTAATGTGTCACTTGCCGAATAACCAGATTTAAATAGATTTTTTCGAGTTATGGAGACTGGAATGAGTGTATCTTGTGACATTTTTTTTTTTTTTTTTTTTTTTTGAAGGTGTGTCTTGTGGTATTTCTTGGACCAGAATAGAACAAAAGTGATAAGCTAAAAAAATCAAATACAATTCAATGTATTTAAATGTACTGGATGAAAGGGTCATGTTTTCTAAACATACCTTTATTGGTTGCTAAATTCCTCTAAGTGGTTTTAAAATAATTAAATTCGTCTTCCTTATTGTAATTGGTCTTTTTCTAAATTTGAATGATCAAATTATTATTGAATTCTCCATTCCAATTCTACACTAGTTTTTCCACAAGTGTTGAAATTGGGCATAGCCAAATAAGAAAAAAAAAGAAATTGGCTAAACATCAAAGAAATAAATCTACTTCAATTAGGGTAAGTTAAATCTTATGCGGAAAGATTTCTTGTTTTTTAGAGCTGCAGAAAATGAGGGGGGAAAAAAGAACTAATTAATAATCATAAAGAGATCTGGACAATGAGATTTTTTTTATTATTTTTTACGAGACAATGAGATCGTTGAAATATTGGATTTCATGTAATATTGGTTTCTTTTTGCTTTTTTTTGTTGTTTTTTTTTTTCCACCTTTTTCCATTCCCTTAAAGAAGTTATACAACCATATATTTTAAAAAACTTGCTGTTTAGAAAAATAAAAATCTCCATCAACTTGCGTCACTTTTTCCTAGATTGAAAATATATCACGTACAACAAATCTAAATCACTATCAGCTGCATTTATATACTTCACCATATGACTCAAATCATCTATTTAATTTTAACGTTTAGAATGATATTTAATCATTCAGATTATGCTACATTATTTAAACAATTGAAATATCTCTTTAATTAGCTTTTTTTTTATTTTGATATTTTCTATTTAGATTTTTTAAATGGCATATTTTATTGTAATTAGTTAGATACTAATTGGCACACCTAAAATTAGACAGTAGATTTGAATCTGTCACCATAATAACATCGTAGATCAATGGTGTTGAATAATTTACCTTCTTTGCAATATGACTAGGTATAAATTTACTTGTGAACATGATCTTTCACCAAACAGTAAATTCACGTTTTTATCAATCATTTGCTTCTTTTTTTTTTTTGGTCATTACATGGATTCATAATATTTCAAGTCGTACTTAGCAGTTTTAATGTGGCTATTCAAAATTACAAACTTACACTACAGTTAAAATTTGTCATATTACCTTTGTCCTTGCATGCATTCGTAACATTCCAACTCATATATATATGGGCGTGATTTTAATAATTATGTTTCCATTAGTAATTAGTCATTAAATATAAAATTTAATGATGTGACGTGATAAAAATATAATATCATATTTATTTATTTTGTTCACAATGCAATCATGGTCATTTTAAAAACTGTCCTAAATTTGGCACCATAAAGTCAACTTCAAGATTTAAATGCCTCGTGTAATTAAAGAAAATCAATTAGGTGCCATGTTCAAAGCTCAACGAAAATGTTTTCGAAAAGAAATTATGGTTACATTAGTATGATTAAAACTTTTTATGCAACAATTTTTTTTAAAAAAAAAAAAACGAGAAACGCATAATTAGCATAGACTAAACATGACTATTAGTCATCATATCATTTATTCGTTAAAAAGAAAAAGAAATGAAGAAATGAAATGAAAGCTAAACATGATCACTGTCCTGTTTAGTTCGCTGATTCGAGTTTACAATTTGAGTTGTGATGTGATTTTATATGAGATTTTTACTGTAATAAAAAAATTAAATGTGTCTATTTTTAAAAATTTTTTACTATAGTAAAATTCGAATCGGTGAAATGAACGAGCCCGTGAAGAAGCATTAGGACTTACAACAAATGCTTTTCCAAACTGATTTTGGAAACGTGTTGGTAGACGGGTAGGAATGCTTTTTATAGAATCGAGTGCAAGTACAAAACAAAGGACCCCCACTAGTACCTAAATCTTAAAAAAGCATTACACAAAAAAAAAAAAAAAAAAAAAAAACCTTGGTGGTGGACCCAAATGGTGTTGAAGAACACAAGGAAACTTTCTCGGGCCAATTCAGTCAAATACTTGAGCCATGATTTATTTCTCTTCCTTTTGATAATGTATGTTGTTGTTTTTTTTTTTTTTTTTTAAACTTTAGTTTTATAACGTGCTCTATGCATATTGTTGTATTAAAAACATTTAAAGAGTTTATTATTTATCGAAAAATGAAAAATTCATTTATATACAACAATTTAAAGATTTTTAAATATATGTCAAAAAGAAATATGTTAAAAATAACAATTGAGAAAAAAATTTAAGTAGGAACACACGTGAAAAAAATTACTCTCATAAGAATAAAGTAAGGAACAATATGTTTTTAAAAAACACACAAAAAATTAAAATGTAAAAAAAATTCACAAAAAAAGGATAAAAGAATAAAAAAATGAAAAAAGAGAAGTGGAAATGTTGTCACGTGACAGCCTTATAAAAAAGAGTTTTGGCTCTTTTATGTATTGTTAGATTGTTAGATATAAAATAATCTATGCTGGTTTTTTTTTTTTTTTTTTTTTTTTTTTTTTTTTTTTTTTTTTTTTTTTTTGACATGCATGATGATCTCACTTTGTTTGAATCATGTTGTTTTCGAAAAGGAGAAATAGCACTCTCTGTCAGTTTCTTCTCCTCTTGCGAAGCAAACATAATTATAGTTATATGCTATTACTTTTATCTTTTTATTAAAACTCTATCAATCGATCTTTAATATTGTAAAATTATCATTGTGCAATTCTTCATTTTCACCTTATGGTTTTATACATATCCTTGTTTTTTTCTTTTTTTTTTTTTCTGAAAAAATGTCATATTAATTTAATTGTATATGTTTCTGAATGTCAAATCTAATTAAAACGTCATAAAAAATTAACCATAGAGCCCTACCGGTAAGGTATATTTTATACATTACTTTAGAATTCTATAGATAATATCATTAAGGATAAAAATCAAGAAAAAGAAGAAAAATAGAAAAGTAATTAGTGCTATGAAAATTCATGCATTTCATACTATCTTCATTAACACCCAAAATTCCAATGCATCAAAAACATGCATCAAGGTGTCATGCACTCTGGTCCATATTTTGTACTCATATTGACCCATCAATGAATGTTTAACATTATCAAATTCTCCTAAAAACTAAACTATCGCATCACTCTTGTTAAATTATCAATTAAAATACTTTTAACTTGTAAAGAAATTGAAATAAAGCTAGGGTTATATTCTAATAAGCCTTGGAAAAGCCAACTTGCTTTTATAATTTGTTCTGGATTATTGTGATTTTACCTAATATTTTCTACACAGATGATGATGACAAGGAATTCACGTACGATGATAAGGATTTGCAACGAATAAGAATACATTTAGCAATTGCCACTAGGAGGTCAATCTCATATTAAGATTCTTTCCCCAACTTGCATGAGTTATGTACAACTGGCACCACTAATAAAAGGAAAAAAAAAGGCATATTTAAGTGATAAAAATTTGCTATCCAATGCTTCAATTGGCAGGCCAGTAACATAACAAAACCTCGCAAACAGTTACATCTAACATCAATTGCTTATAATCATGTTGTAGAGGATATTTTGCTTTTTTCAACTCATTCAACATGAAAAGTGGGACATAAAACAAAGGCAAAGTCAATTGTTAGTTAAAAGGTATTCATTTGGGAAGACATGCCTTAGAAGATAAAAGCCTTTTTTTTTTTTTTTTTTTTCATCCTCTCCCTAAAATGGACTTAGAAGATGACGCTTAAAGAATTCATGTCAATCTTGCTTATGGTTTAGGATTAATTTTATAAAAGTCCTCTTGAACTTTGTACTCTAATTCAGCATGCAGTTCATTTTGTCTCCTTAAATATGTGAAGTGATCCAAAACACCGCTTGAACTAATATTATTTTATAAATGAAAAAGATATTTTGAATTGAGATACATAATTTAAGGGTGAAGTGAATCTTTTTTAAATTTGAGAGAATGTACAAAGAGAGAATTTATGAAATTAATCCTCATCTTTTATGTGCTCCTAGTATTGTCCATACCTTAATCGACATTAGTAGAAAGGATGGATTGTAAAAAAGTTGTGCCTGCTCAAGGAGCAGGGGCGATCGGAGGAGCGGCACGGTGGTTGTTGGCGGGTTGAAGGGGGGCGAACGGGTTGCCGGCGAAGGCATCCTCATCATCCGATGGGAGTCCATCAGGAGGAGTAGGGGCCGGATTGGCGGGATTGGCCGGGGGAACGAGGTGAATTTGGATGGCTGTGAGGGCTTGGGTGACGGCTTCCATATGTTGAGTAAGGGCAGCAAGAGCATCGCCATAGTCGGGCATCGACTCGTCGACGGGGTGGCATTACGGCAGATGAGTGCTGGCTATGATACCAAATTGATGCAGCGTAACGTGCAGACGAAAGAAAATAAAAGAAGAAGACACCAAAAGTTCACGTTCATCGCAAGATACCGGGAACGCCAATGACTTCTCAACTTGACTTCGTTGATTCTCAGGAAGGAATACCGACACAAGGACTTGGGAGAGGAAACTCTCTGTTGATATTTTATTCATGCAAAAACTAACGAAAAGTACAACCATAATGGAGATATATAGTTCCCTAGAAAGCAGTTAAATTTTGAAAATATTCCTAAGAAATAGGAAAGAAAAAAAAGGAAACAAATCTAAAACTTAAAAACTGAATGCGGGAATAGCAAACAAAATCCAAAAAAAAGATGTTCAAATTATAAACTAGTTATTCGGTTAAAACCGAATCTTCTGCGCCATCAGTCTCTAAGCAGCACTAAAAAATAAATAAATAAATAAATAAATAAATAAATAAATAAATAAATAAAAAATAAGGTAAATCAGGAGACATAGATAGGTATGTTTAAAAAAAGAACTCTACTTAGATCAAACCCAGATATTACAAAACGCTAAACTACTCAGAAGATAATCCCTCTAATAGGAGGAACAATTACGCAAAAGAATCTAACAGCAGTTACTGGTCAAAGATTCTCCAAGCTGTCTAAAGTTGAGTAAGCAATGATCCCGAAATTGGTATTTTCAATAAAAAAACTTTAGTAACTATTAACTGGATCAGTTATTTGGAGAGCAACTCAAGAACATAAGCATTTCGATAATACTTTGGATCAAATGTTAACAGAGGTAGGTATTAAGGATCGAGTCCACATCGTCTAAATATGAACATAATCATATGCATTAAAGAATATTGGGCTAACCCACCTAACAGGTTGACCTTTTAAAATGAAAGCTTAATTCCTTATAGAGTCCAGTTCTTCTCCCTCAATTCTCCTCTCATTTCTCCTTAAGGCCTCATTCATTTCACCAATTCAAGTTTTCAGTTTTAAGTTTCTACAATTAAAAACTCTAAAAAAATATCACATCTAACTTTCTCTGAAAAAAAATATCGCATCTCAGCTCGAATTAAAAACCCGACTCTGCGAAGCGGATGAGGCCTAAGTAACTGGAAATGATTTCTACATTGACCGCAAAGTGGTCTCTTTGTAAGATTCTAGGTTTACCTGTAGAAATCCGTGGAAGCATAAGCTCAGGACAAGTTTTTTGATAGATTTTTTTTTTAATCTTTTTTTATCATAATGAGAGAAAAAAAAGGTAAAAACACAATGAGATTTAAAGGAAATGAACTCAAAATTAGGCGCCTTTCATGAATGGTACATTGTCTTTCTGGTATTTCTTTATGGTTTCAATGACTTCAACAGAAAAGGACTCATCCTCTGGGTAACACGCAATGGGATCGGATAATAAGGGAAGCAGTAAGTCGAGCACACCTTCAAGCGTTGCATGAAGACAATAGGCTGAGTACGTGACATGATACCCTCCTTCTTGGACAATTAGAAGCCGCCCGCCAGAACACCTATTGGCAAGGCTACTGACCATCTTCCCTATCTCTCGGTAGCCCTCCATTGTCAAGCATTGCCTTCCATTAGGATCAAACTGAAAGATAAATGTTTCAGTCTAAGCAATTAAAAGTTCTTTTTCATACTGCCGGAAAAACATAAAACAAATAACAAATAACACATACAACTTGAAAATTTCTGAGCTCGTTTAGTTTGCTGATTCGAGTTGAGATGTGACTTTATGTGAGAGTTTTTTACTGTAGCAAAAAAGTTAGATGTAACTGTTTCTGAGAGTTTCTTACTGTAACAAAACTCGAATCGGTGAAATGAACGAGGCTCTAGTTATCCCTTCTCAAGTACAAGCCACATGAAATGTAAAGAGAAATTTGATTTACAAGGTAACAAGAGCGATGTTAGACGGATAGACATGCCTCAGAAAATGAAGGTGAACATTTTTTTTTTCTCTCCCCAATACAGACACTGACGACAATAAGCATTATAGCGATCACATCACAACTGTGAATTCATGTTCAACTTGAAGGCCATATATCCGTCAATTCACAATGTGTTAATTCGAGCATCCGTCAAACAAATGCATAGTAGACAGTATTCAAACCGAGTAAAATCTACTAAAATTTCACTGGAAACATGTTCAATTAAGAATTCTACTAGCATCCCCTCAGAAGAAAGGAAAGAAAAAAAAAAAAAAAAAAAAAAAAAAGAATTCTGCTAGCGCAATTATTGTAGGTATTATCCGTTTTCAAAAGTAAGGAAGTGTATGATGCAGAATGGCTTTTAGACTTCACCTTTTGACTTCAGTGCTTATACTTTACATCTTAGAACTATAAATCCTAGTGAGTACCACACGTCTAGAAATACAAAGTTCCCTTGGTTATGTGTTGGTAAACAGATTCAGATCAACTTACTTACAGCCTTGAGCCAATAAATCTTTTTTGCCAAAAGGGAAAGAAAAAGGTTTTTCATTTTAAAATTTCAATGTATAGAGGCAAATATCTTTTTCTTTCCATCAAAACTGCATTTCTTTAATGTAGTCATATAACACAATTGGTCAAAATACTAATATAAATTTCCCTTCGAAAAGAGTCGATTCAGTAGCAAAACAGCATAGGCTACGAAGCAAAAGTTTTGATCTGCTCTTTTTCTGTAAACTGAAACCTCCTACATTTAGTATAAATTTCTTTTGCAAACAGAAACCTCCTTATGGATAAACCTATGCATTCAACAATAAATAAATAAAGATAAACCTACACAGTTCTTTTCCTATCATAGGATCAACCTACTCAATTATGTCTAATCAATCTGAACTAGTCGTAGCCACCAATTAGCGTACTCAGAGTAACATTTAAACAGGAATACCAACACTCTATGGCTTATCAAGTTCCTTAATGCCCAAGTCTTTTCACAATCAACTAACAAATTTTAGCCTCAAAGGTTGCTATATCATTCGAGCTTTCATAAGAGAAACTCATACGAATAACCATTTCGCAATATATATACACAATAAAGCCATTCATTTTAAAGAGAATTAAGCAAGAAGATCACTTACAGCGCTAGAATCTTGACCAATAACCAGAACCAACATATCAGGTTCAAACCTCTCGATAGCCGGGACAACCAACTCAGTCATGGCATATCCATAGGCCTTATCGCCTGACCCATTTGGCAGAGGTATATTTAAATTATAGCCGAACCCCTCCCCTTCTCCAAGCTCATCGATTGATCCATTCTGTGGGTGAGATGGACCCCACGAACCATGATTCATATGAAGGGAGATTGTGAGAACTTTATCCGACTGATAGAACCCCTCTGCGGTTCCATTGCCATAATGAACATCAATGTCAATCACCGCAACTTTCGCACAACCCGAATTTAAAGCCAAATGAACAGCAAGGCCCGCATTATTGAGGAAGCAGTATCCATCAGCTTGAGTTGGCTGAGCATGATGACCCGGAGGCCTGACTAGTGCATAGGCAATTTCGGCATGTCCATCTAGCACATACTTCATCGCTGATAAAGCGGTACCGGCCGCGAGAAGAGCAGCATCCCATGAGCCAGGGTTCAAGAAAGTCCCAGAACAAAGCGCCTTACCCCCTTGTCTATCAGCTTCAACTAGTTCATTTATGTATTCTGGGACATTCAACATATTCGCACACTGAAATCAGCCTTTGATTTAAGGAAAACCCAATTATTACTCTGCAAAAGAAACCACTTAACAACCAAAAAGTTTTGACTTGAATATTCACTATAAGCTTCAACAAGTTTATTTGTGCTCAAGGAACAAATGGAAAGCCCAATATAATACCTTCCGCAAAATTAAACAACTTAACAACCAAATAACTTGACTAACTAGACCCATTAAGTTCAAACTGAAGAAATTGCATTTTCAACTTAAAATTAGTATCATGAATCGCAACATTTAACATATTTGAAAACGTAAATCAACCTCTGATCTAAGACAAACCCATTAACCAATTCTTAAAATTAACTCATTTGAGGCCCAGGAATTTGACTAAATAGACTCATCTCAGTTCAAACCGAAGAAATTGACTTTTCAATTGAAGTAGGTCACCTGGGCAGTGGAAAGAGAGCAGTTCAGAAAGAAGAGCAGATCTTCCAGAGTGCCAAGTGATGAAAGGAGATATGGGTCCTTTTTTGAGGATGGAGACCATGTTCCTGACTCTGTCTGAGTTCTCTGGATGTTTCTCCAACACGTCCAAGAAACCAGGGTCCTCTCCGGTGTCGAAGACGCCATTGCCGGTGTCATGAGCAAGCATGCCTTCGTGCCAGAACACGTGAATTTTTCCCGGTGGCGGTGGGGGAGTAGAAGCTGAAGCCGCCATTGACGCTGCAGAGAGCTTCTTTTTTCCGGTCCAAGTTGGCTCTTGCCGGGAAAGGAAACTCGAAGGACGTTCATAAAGTTGGTTTTGGTTTGAGAAATTTAGGTGAAATGCCACCCAAATGGACATAGTTATGATTTATGCCACGCTTACTTTATGGTTGGTACTAACGTGATAGCACGATTTGAAACGACAAGAAGTTAAAGATTTTAGGCGTTGTTTTATTTTTGTGTCAATCTCGTATTGACGAGTATAATAATGGCATGTTTATCCGCGTGGAATTTGAATGGACATGGATTAGACTGGATAAGATTTAGACCCCGTTCACTTGTTAATTTGAGTTTAACTATAGTAAAAAACTCTTAGAAACAGTCACATCTAACTTTTTTACTACAGTGAAAAACTCTCACATAAAAGTATAATAATGGCATGTTTATCCGCGTGGAATTTGAATGGACATGGATTAGTCTGGATAAGATTTAGACCCCGTTCACTTCGTTAATTTGAGTTTAACTATAGTAAAAAACTCTCAGAAACAGTCACATCTAACTTTTTTACTACAGTGAAAAACTCTCACATAACATCACATCTTAACTCGAATTAAAAATTCGAATCAGCGAACTAAACGGGCCCTTAGAGTGTGAAGAATTTAGAGTGAGAAATAGGAATTAAAATAAATTGTTTTCTTACTGATATAATTCAAAATAAGAGTCAATCTAAATTCAATTCTGCATTTCTTATAACAAAACCAGAATATATACTTAATATAAAAATACTAATATATTCTTTAAATAAATTTCATATTTTTTTAAAAGTAAATTGTGTACTTATTATAGTAAAATAACTCATAATTAAAATATTTATTATAACCATAGTGTAATAAATAATAAATATAAATCACAAATTATTCAAATTGTTAAAATTTGAATAAAATAAATAATAAAAAAAATAAGCGTTAAAATTTAAAATATATTGTTAATTTTAATGAACAAAATAAAGTACATTGTTATTGTGTTAAAGTTAACAATAATAAGGCTAATGTTATAATATTAGGTAAATAAAATTATAAACATAAGTTGTAATTATTATTTTTTAAAATTTTTAATTTTAAATGTATAACAAATCAAGGGTAAGATAACAATTTAATATTAATATTAAAATGGAGGAGGGAGTATGAGATTGTTAATCTCATTCTTCAATCCTAAATTTGAGCGAGTCTACTAATCATATTTTCATTTCAAGATAAAAAAAGCAAGTAAACATTAAATTTATCTATATTCTCTAATCCTGATAAGTAAACATGCTATTCAGTAGGTTTGGAGACAAAATGTTAGTCCCTTAAACAAAAAAACTCGCAGAAAAAATAACAAAATAAAGAGGAAAAAGAACAATCTTCGACACAAACGCCACAACAGCCATTTCGGGGCACCCTCCATCGTTGACCACAAAGCGTCACCTTCCTTGATGACATCGCCCCGTCAAACAAGATTAGAAACAACCCATCTCCTTGACCCCACAGTCGTTCTTTTGAATCTTGCTGAGATTGCCGCTAAGTGCCACCACAAATCTGCGACCAACCAATTTTGCGTCCCTTTGTCTGCTATGAGTCATCATTCCAAGCCACTGCAATTGCTTCAGAGGGTTCCAACAATGATGAAAACGTCTCCTGATCCAACCATTGCTGAACCTGCAAAAACATCGACATCTCCTTCCTTTTTAAGGCCGACAACCTCTGCGAAGAACATCCCGACGTAATATTCTTTGCACCTCAATAATTTCCACCAAAGCTCTTTGATTGGCAAGATAGGACGGGTGACAATGTCCAGGGTTCAAGCTACCAGAGCGCGAGATGGAGCGCAGTGGGGATGATTCTTCGAAGGTGCTGGAGAAGGAAAGAAGAATAGACCTAAGGCCCGTTTAGTTCGTTAATTCGAGTTGAGATGTGACTTTACGTGAACTTTTTTACTGTAATAAAAAAATTAGATGTGACTATTTTTGAGAGTCTTTCACTGTAACAAAACTCGAACTCTAAATTCAAATCAGTAAAATGAACGGGCCTCTCATTTTTCAAACTTTTTTGAGAGGAATGTTGTAATTATGGTGCAGTAGGTTTTAGTTTTGTTTGGTTACCCTTCCCCTTTTTTTACTGTCTGATTTCGTTCTAATGGTGCTTATTTTACTCTAGAACTGCCCAATTTGGTTTTTGTAAAAAAAAAAACTTTGTAAATTGTAAGCAAAGTATTTACAACCACAAGTTTTAGACAAAAAAAGGGGTTTAATCCAAAGCTATATAGTTATAAATAAATTGACTACTTTTTTGGTCAGACATACATAATAACAAACTCTCAGATGTAGACTTGAAATATTCAACAAACCTTAGACCATGTTTACTCTTAAGTAACAATATCTTTTGTATCATAATGAAAAACTAATAAGCAAAAACACAATGAGAAGGTTTTAAATAAATCAAATCTATTTTAAATCCTCTATTGTTGAAATCTATAATGGCTTAAAAGATATATATTTTTTAAATATAAACACTTATTTCCTTTCTTAATTTAGGTATAATATTGAGTTCTAAGTACACCTCTATGTACAAGATCCTATCTTTTTCTTCCCGTACAATCAACAAGAGACTTCCGACTAAGATTTTACTTTGTTTGTCTTAAAGAGACATCTTCTCTAATCTAGGATACTGATCCCTCATACACTGCTTACTCAACCTCTCATCTACCATACCATAATTTCTTAAAATGTACATAAATACGTAATAAGCAAATATTATAATCTCTTATAAATCAAATAATATAACCTTAAGAGCTATTAAATGATAGATTTCAAACTTAATAAACCAATTAAAAATAACCCGTATCCCTTATTATAATAGACCTGTTGAAAACGCATGATAACTTTCTACATGAATTTGCAAAATTCATAACTAAATCTAGAAAATTCGGTTTGACTGATTTAAAAACCAAGTTAAATCTTAAGATGTCTGCTTCAATGCAAAACTACCAACTCAGAAAAAATCATTCATAACATGATCTAGAAACAAAATCTTACGAACTGCTTAGAAAAAACTCATACTTGGACATTTCAACAGACACATTACATGAAAATTTTTATATTTAAAACTAACTCTTAAACACATGAATTATCATCCAAAAGTTTTATCTTATAAAATTCAACAAGATTTTCATGTTATAATCATCAATTTTGTATACAAGCAATAAATTTTGAACAAAATACTAAGAAACTCTTCTTTAAATTTTTAACTTCTAACATACACATATAATGATCCATAACATAGCTCCAAATTTCGATAAGGATTTCTACAGCTTAATCTCGAAAATTTCAGTTGCTAAATTGAGGAAGATTTTACCTTGGGAAAAGGCTTGTTCCCAAGTGAAAAGCCGCTCAAAACATGGGTAATTTTCAAGTTCCAAGTTATAAAATAAGCTAATTATATGACTTGATGCATTTCTATGTCTTAAAAATCTAAGTTTAGTTCTGAGTTTTAGGTGAGAAAATAAGTGAGAAAAGAAAAAAGAAATAGTCTGATCACACCTTACAAGTTTCTGCTGAAATTACCTTAAAATTGAAGCTAAAACTCGATAAAATCCATGCAAAAATAAGGTGGCTCTAAATAGGTCCAACTATTAAGATTTAACCAAACCTCTAATAATTATTATTTTTTTAATAAAAACTGGATGATGTTATTACTTCAAATCAGCAATTACAAGAGGCGTTATAGACAGTGGAATAGACTCAGCAAGTCAGCATTAATAGAATCCCACCCCCTTGACATGACAGCATTTCCAACTTCCCATATTAATTAATTAAACTATTTATTTATTTATTTATTTTTGCTTAAGTACCTAAATTTTTCTCAAATTACAAACCTAACACGCTCATAAAAACTTGATATAACAACTAAGTCCTCAATATATTTAGATGAACTAACATATATATAACATTAAAACTACTAATCTATTCAACCAACTTACAAAAATAAAGATATCACATGGAATAATAATAATTAAAATTATGTTTTTTCAATCAACTTATCACATTTGGTTCTCACATCAAACTAACTGCACTCTATGTTAAAACATAACATTTCATTAAAATTGTCAAAAAGTCAAAATCTAAGGACTGATTAGCGAAAAGTAAAATTTAAAAATTTTCTTTTACGATTTTATAATGTAATCGATACAGTCTACAATTTTCTAGTTTCAATTTTATATGTTGGCATATACAATCAAGAATTCATTGACAAGGTTCTAAACAAAAAAGTTATCCCATTTTTAGACTTTGAATTATGGGACAAATCTGATTTTGATCACTGGTTTTTAAATTATCCTAGAACGAGTTATTGAGTTATGAAATTGTCCCAAATTAATTCCATTGTCCAATCGATTAGCATATAATCTTAACGGAAAAAAGATACAAGAAGAACATGTGAGGTCTATTCGTTGGTTAACTTCATAATTTTATACGTTGGGGGAAAACTTTTAAGAAGGAAGTTGTGTTTTTCTCCATCGACATTTTAATTGTTGGATTAACAGAATGACTAATTTGGGATAACTTAGCATTTTAGAAAATTTGTCATAAAATATTTTAAAAATTTTGTATAAAAATAAGAGTTGGTTGTTCACCCGCAAGCATATGGTATTAAGTTTTGATAGTATAAGGTAAGTGAGTATCGTCTCCACAGGGATTGAGTGTCAAATTGCCACTAAGTACTGCGATTATCGTAACTCAATTTTATATAGGCAACCAAACTAAACGAAATAAAATAGAACTTAAATGTATATAAATACAAAAATAAGATAAAATATGGAAACTTCTATGCACAAATGTACTAGGAACTTGACTTCACCTTACCATTCATATGTTCATCCTATTAAGCCAATGCTAGCCAATTCCACTCAATTCATTAATCAAGGGACCTAATCTAACCTCCCAACCTCTCCCGAGCGTCAAACGAAGTCATATGCATGAATTCCCGAATCACCGTTTACTTATACACTCATTAAACTCAAATGTCGATCGCCTCCCGGTCTCACAACAATCGAATCCTAGTTGATAATTAAGGTCTTGATCACC